AATTCTCATTTTAAGATAATTACCAATGCATATATTAGATTGTAATTTTATTTAGATTAAAACCATTCCAATTTGATCACAATATAAACATTTATTATATATTTTTGATCAATCAAAACTAAGTACAAAGTCCCCAAAAGACAATCTTAATAAAAAAAATGAATTGTATGTACAAATTTTTTTCATTTAAAAAATTACTTCATATCAAAATTAATTTTTGCATTTATTTTTAAAGCTTCTGATAATCTAAATAATTTACACTGTTTAACATTAAATTTTGATGTAAACACAACTAAGTTTGAATGTAAACAGTATAAATAACTCCTTGGAGCAGCTTCTTCACATGGACCACTTGTCACTGGAACTGACCCCCAAGAGGATGTTTTCCTAATCACTACAATCTTAACTTGTTCAAGTCCAGTGTTAACTGTTATGTTCCTCACATATCTGCATAAACTGTGCCTCTTACTATGAAACTCTCTACCCTGAGTGGCCCCAGGGACTTGTATTGGGTGAACATCAAAAAAAAAAAAAAATCCCAGAAATTCAGACAAAAATTGTTTTGTGTTTTAAAGAAAAATTGTTTTGTGGTCTTGAAATTTTAATTTTTTTTTTTTTTTTTTTTTTTCTGAAACTGTGCTTGCTTTATTTTATACTTCAAATCTTTTTTGCATCCCTCACCCTACCTCCACTCATGCGATATCATTTACCCTCATATTTAGTTCTTATCACAATGCATCCCCAACCCCTGCACACACACTTATTTTGAAAAAAATTTAACATCTAATAAGTGTAAAATAGGAGGTACGGCTCAGATTGAGGTAGCGGAGAGCAGAGTTCGAATTCCAGTCGAATCCATTACCTATATGCTAATACCCTTAGGAAAGGTATGAATCCTCTCCCCCACAGCTATGGGTAAATAGCAGGACAGACCAGGTTCTATAGCCTTGGATGACAACTGGTCTACTGCAGAAAGAAATGGTAATCAGCTGCAAGAAAAAATTCTGCCTTGTCAGTCATGTATCAGAAGATACATGATTGCCTAAGCGTGTATCATGACTGAAGTGTAAAATTGTGCCATTATTTAGTCTTGTTTATAGAAGACAAATAAAAGAAATAAAATATAGTAAATAATTTCACTTTTCATTTTTTTAGTTTGTGGTGTGACTTCATTCATTATTTTATTTAGTCTTTAGCCATACAGGATGAACATCACTAATCCAACATAATTGGGACCTGTAAAGTGCCAAATAAGGGATTTTGCTGGTTTACTGATGGTTGAGCAATTTTCTCTCTGTTTCTTTGTCATTAACTGTAACTGAGCTAATGCTGTGTAAATCACAAACTCTGCAAAGACACACTGCTGTTAAGTTTTTCCAGAAGTCCTACCTTATCTGTTATGGACAACATAAGGTGTTTTGTGCTTCACACCATGAAAAGCACTTTCTGTATTCATTGATGGGGCTAAATGCTGGTTGGTTATAGTAAAAGTGCTCGAATGACCAGTAGATGTGCCTTGACAGTTTTTGAAAGTTCTCAAAACTAGTAGATGCAGTAGCTAATGCTACCAAACAGTAGAGGCAATCTGAAATTGCTCTCATGGAAATTAGTGCCAGATTGGTGATGTCCTTGCTGAAACAAAGCAACAGAAAAAATGACATCAATAATCTATGCAACATGCTTGTAGAGTTTCATAATATTATTTTTAATCTGACATTTTTATTACTTCATATATTTAATGGATAAAAATAGTGTTTCAAAATAGATGCTCTATTTTTTTATTTTAAATAGTGTGTATTAACTATTGACCTGTGCATTCAAAAAATCTTAAAGAAAATGTGCTCTCTGGCAAGGATCAAACTGGTGTCAAATCACCATCTATTTAATCCAGGGTGCTTTACACTTGGCTACAAAATTTAAAGCCTGCCGGGCTAGATCAAATGGTGTTTTCTCCCAAAAAGGGAGAAAAATATTCATTACAACTCTGAATTCAAAAACCATATGTGTCCTTGGTAAAGCACATACTATACAACTAAGGAAAGGATTGTGGATTTCACAATAACCCTATGATCCCAACTATGGTTGGCCTCCTTAATTCCTATATTGAATCTTATTTGTGCATAGCAAGCATATCAAATTTTTAATCAATTTTCTACAATATAAAATATTTATGATTGTCATATCCCAGGATGTTGGGACGAACAAAAACAAATGAAAATAATAAGTGTATTTTATCATATAATGAACAACTTTTATTTATTTACTGTCTGAGAACAACAAAGATTTGTTTGGATTGAAGCCATGAATTTCATGTGGAATTGCTTGATCACTCTTTCATGTAATGTAGATGGGACAATCATGCATTATACAAAAAAGTAGATATGCCAACTTCTGACAATGAAGATTGACACTGAAAGAATGGCTGAATTCATTTGTCTGTACATATTTCTGGCCAATTTGTACAATGGAAGCATATCACTTCTTGTAACATGGTCTGGAGCCTCTGCTGTTTGTCTTAAAGTCCTCAACAAAATCCAGAGATAGATATGCAATGTGATTGGCCCTGATCTGGCATCTCATTTACAGTCGCTCCCTCACAAATGTACCATTACTTCCCTCTGTCTTTTCTACAAATACTTTCAGGGTAACTGCTCCAGTGAGCTACTTTCACTAGTTTCCAAACTGCATGAATTTAAACATGCTACTAGGTTGGCATCTCAGTCCCACCCTTTCACTGTCGAAAGGGTTAAATGTAGGAGTCTCTTCTACTCCAATAGCTTCATGTCTTGCACTTCCGTCTGTTGAATTCCCTTATTACTTGTTTCCCTGATAGCTATAATCTCCAACTATTCAAATGCAATGTCAATCGACATCTCAAAATGCCTTGATCTATTCCCTGTCCTTCTCTTCATCCTTTCCTCTATCACACCTCTTTACTCTTGTTCACTCTCTCTCTATAACCCCTTGCATGCTAGTAGCACTCTCACCTTGCTAGGGGTAAATTGCTTAAAAAAAAAACTGTCTCAGAAGCTGTGGCATCACAGATCATTGTAGAAGTGGCAGTTCTTAAGTGCTTTTACAGTGGATGTAAGCACTGAAGTAACTTCTGGCTCTAGAGATAATGCTGAGATAACTGAGTTTTCTGGTACTTTATCTTGTGTAGTCATGAGCCTAGATAATATATTGGCATGACCAATTGTATTTGAATTGTATTTTATAGAAAAAATGTAATCTAACAGGATAGTTGTCCATCTTTATAGACGGTTTGTTGTATACACTGGGATGTCTTTTTTAGATTCAAAAATACTAACAAGAGGCTTGTAATCTCTGATCAGAGTGAAATGACGCCCATATAGCATTTTGTGGAGCTTTTTAATAGCAAAGACTATTGCTAATGCTGCATTTTCAATTTGGTTATAATTATGCTCTGCAGGTGTCGGTGATCAGGATGCGTGATCTATTGTCTTTTAGCTGCTGTCATGGCATAATTAACAGGCTCTATTACACCTTGCTGAAAATGTTGCAACCATATTCAGAGCAGCATAGTGTACTGGCCATTTTTCTAAAAATTGGCCTAGAATCTGGTTTTAATTTCAGTGTAGCTTCAATTTTTGTACAGTACCCAAGCCCATCTTTATAATAGTCACTAAACTTATTTTTAAGTTCATTTGTGAAATGATTTTCAATAACAGAAACCAATGTGAGGTCAAAGGCCACACTTGAGAGAAATTTCAAAAATGTTGTTCTATTCAGTAAAGACCAATTAAATTCAATTTCAAATTATCTTATACGTAACACATTCCAGAAAATGTTGTGTATCAATGGGAAGATCACAACTAAAATGACTTCGAGATGTGTTCGTTGCTATATGATTTGTTTCAGACACATATTGCTTTTCAATTTGTTCTCAAGTCGAATGTGATATTAACATTATGCCTGACACAGTATCAAACTGGAAAGAAACTGGATTGTTTACAGAAACAACAATATATTTTCTGCAGGAATCGTAATTCACTTCAAACATCACAATCACTGTTTTGAACTTTTTCCCCATTTCATTTTTAAAAATTTTTTCGGGTTGAATTTTTATGTGAAATTGGATTGCAAAATCCTTTATGTCTGTGCCAATGACATATTGCACTTATGTTTTTTGAATGGACAAAAGCATATATAATGCCAATTGCCACAATACCAACATTTTGAGGAAGGTTTCTTTTCCTCACAAGGTTGTTTTCTCGTGTGGCTGTTGCTGGTTATTGATAAATCCTCATATATTTTTTTTTAATCAGCATAGTGTCACTTTTGATGCTTAATAAATTATTGCATTCGGTGGTGAGGTCTTTTAAAATAATGCCTTTGTCCTGTTCCAGTTTTGAAAGAAGTCTAGTGCAAACATCAACATGAAAAGATTTTAAACCTGTGATAAAAATCATTTAATATTTATTATTTCCAATTTACGTGACCAGCAAACGTCACATAATCATCTTTTGAATTGAATGTTAAATAAGTATTTTTTTTCTCCAAGTACTTAGTAGTTCTCTGTTTCAGTGAAGGTGAAATCAGTTGCCTGCTTTGGTAAAATATAATTAATATAATGGATGTGCTGGTGATATAATGGATCAGAATTATTAATCAGAGCAGGGTTTCAATTCCAGTTGGGTTCATTATATTCACTTATGTGCAAATACCTATGGGAAAGGTCTGAATCCACTTCTCCCCTCCCCCCAAGCTATGAGTTAATTAGTAAGACTTGTATCTCTAAATGATTATTATCCACTCCCCAACCAAAAAATTACAATCTAAAAAAAATATTTTCTGACTTTAAATAACCTGCAATGCATTGAGAAACCATAAAAAATGAATGAATCAATCAATAAATAGGCTTAATATGTAGTTTGCTAATATAAACAATTGATTTTATTATTATTCTGAGTTAAACTATGAAAAGTGAAAATTGAATCATCTTTGAACATTAATAATGTTAGTGTTTATTTTTTTAGATTCAAGTCATTGAAGACGACCGACAACACAAAACTGGTACATTTGTAACAAATTTACGTGGTCAGGTTCCTCCTTTGATTACTACTAATTTCGTAACACAAGATCAAGGTAAGTGACTTTTGATGTTTTTATAATATAGTTCCCCTTGCCAGTTTACCTGGAAAGAAACAATGCAGTTATTAATAATAGTCAAAATTAACACATGCAAGATTTCACAGCTCTAGCATCACTCCTTCATAGACTATGAACATTTCAGCCCACCATCATTTAACACAGGAGGTTGTTTTGCCATGGCCACTGCACTACATATAACACTGGAGTGGCATCCAAATTCCAATAACCAAAAACAATACAGAGTAGAGCAAATATTATTTATTCAAAAATTATAACATAAATATGTTATAACATCACTACAAAAATAATCATTTTGTTTCAACACTTCTGGTATCTTCTCAAGTGATGGTGTTGAATGTAGAATAAAAAGTTTTAAAAGGTTCAAATCAACCAAACACCCCTCAATAGGGGAAACGCTGTTACATAAGCTGGAATGACCAATCAAAATACAAGTATATGAGAATTCAAAAATCTTGACAATGAACCTTAGTTATAAATATTAATACCTTAATGTTAGACTAAAATAGAAATCATTCTGATTAATTTTAAAATTTACTATAAAATTAAAAATAAAAATTAACAATTTTAAATTTTAAATTTAACTTGTGTTATAAAATTATTTAAAGAAGAAACTGAGGAAAATATACATATATATATATTTTATTTGGTTGGATTGATGTGAGTTTATGACCCTGGGTTTCACGCTTTCTGACAATCGCAAAAAGTGTGAAACCCAGGGTCACAAACTCACATCAATCCAACCTGATATTGAGCGCTTTCTAATAAAGTACCAAGATATAATATATAAATAATTATATATATATATATATATATATATATATATATATATATATATATATATATACACACACTTTTCACACATATTTATTTTATGTTTTAATCAAAAAGCCAAATTTGCAGTTAGCTAAAGAGATTCAAACATCATAACAATTTTAATATGTTTGAAGGGATTTGAAACCAGATGATATGGACAGGAGAAGAAGTTTTCCAAATGAAAATATATACACAATCGTATTATAATATATAAACACGTAGACATATTTAGATATATAAAGACGCAAAAACACGGATTAAACAGGAAATGTATGATTGCTTGTATATGCTTTTCATTGTATATGTGTCTGATGTTATATCCCTGTTTTTTTTTCTTTGTTGTGGACACCTATTTCCTGTTTCATCCATGTTTTTGCAAGTTTGTATATTATAATATGATTGTGTATGTACTGTCATTTGGGAAATGTTTGTAGTGATGTTATAACATGTTTGTCATAATTTTTGAATACATAATTATATATAAGGTGTGAGCCGTTTAGGTAGATAGGGTAGTCAGTGCCTACCCTGAATTAAATAAATTAGCAGCTACAATTTCCTTCTGTGGCACAATATGCACCCAAATCCAACAAAATTATGAAGGTTACTCTGATTATTATGCATAAAATGCAAAATATTTTATTTTTTTTACATTTACTACATAAAGGTCACAAGCTGCCTACTCTGGGTAATTACTGATGGCACATATCTTATAGATACACGAGACGCAGGTTCAAATCTCACCATGGTCGATTTGTCAGGAAAGAGACTTCCTGATGTTATTTGACTGGATTGAGGTCGATCCCAGCGTGCGGCACCTTTTGGAAAGTGCTTGAAAACCATAACACAGGTTGACCTAAGCCTTGTGAATGAAATTGGGTAGACGGAATTCTTGGGGGCCGTCGATAGCTGTGCTAGCATGAAGCCACAAGCTATCGTGGTCGAGGGCTTGACCGTACTGGCTTTGTTCAAACTGTTGATCTCGCTAGATAACACACTCTCTCCCAGAAACTGTAACTAAGGTCTGCTCAGCATAGTTGTAGTATAAACCACAGGTGGGCTATGTGGTTGTTGAGCAAACACAAATGTGCCTGAGTGAGCGTCTGCAAAAGGGATTGGCTAGCTGTCCTAGTAGACGGGTTTAAACTGATAATTTCAGATCAGAATTGAAACTACTTATTGGTTAACCCCTTTGTCCATATATATAAGAGATGATGCTGGAAAGTTTTCTACTTAACCATTAAAAAAACTTTTATTAGAAATTCAGATGTTTGGTCAGATTTAGGGACATGGGCCAGGTCAAGAAATTATCATAAAATCAATAACAAAATATAACCAAGAAAACAAAAAAAGAAGAAAGAGATTATACATTATCAATTTTCTTTATATGTTCTTTACTTAGTGCCAACTAAAAATTAAGATTTTTTATGTTTGTATAAAAGCCTTGCAGCTTCATCTTTCAAATTAGGATGGAATACTTACTAACATGCATATAAGAAATCTCCAATTTTATCTATTGAAAATGTTGAAATGTTTCTCTCTTTTTAGGTAACTGTAATCCAAGCTTTGTGAGGAGCACCATGTACAATATTCCCTGCACTTCTGACATGCTGAAAAACTCTCATATACCATTTGCATTGTCCATTACGCCTTTTGCAAAATTGCATCCAAACGAGGTGAGTTAGGGTCTCCTTTTGATTGTTTTTAAATCTATATAATGAATGCAGATGTCAGTGTGTCACGGTCACATTTTTTCAATTAAAGGGACACAACTCTCTAACTTTTAAATATCTCATCTTCTTTATCTATATAATAAATGCAGATGTCAGTGTGTCACACTTTTTCAACTTTACTCCTAGCTCAACATATTATAGCATTTTGGAATCAGGCCAACTCCATGAGCAAATTAAAAACATCCTGGGCTGGATCTGGACCCACAATCCTGAAACTTTGGATTCCCAAGTTTTCATTTCTGCGATTGTTTTGGCAATTTTTGTATGTGATTTTTTGCGACAAATTTTTTAGTACAATAACAATTTTATAACTTGCAAATAAATTTGTATGTCAGCAGAATTATTTAATATTGTTCAGGGTTTTTTTTTTTTAAATTGATTTCACGCAAGGCAGTGAAGTTACTAAGACACAAGGGGTTACTCAGTGTGAAAGAATTAGAAAACGGAAACTTTACTATGAAGAGTGATCAGGATGACAGTAGAAAGCGAGTAGATGACTTCATCATTTACCTTCATTGTTCTAAATCTTAATAATGATTAATGCTTTGTTTTTAATTGTTTTCTAGCAAGAGCCTCCTCTTGTTGACTTGGGTGAACTTGGTCCTGTTCGTTGTAAAAGATGCAAAGTGTACATGAGTCCACATATGCAATTTATTGATGGTGGCAGACGATTTCAGTGTGTATTTTGTAATGCAGCAACAGATGGTAAGTAATTTATTTAGAAAACAAAATAACAAATCTGTCTGGTCATAAAGAAAAGTATGTTCACAACATGAAAAGTTGTCATGTTCCAAACTGATAAGTTCTCATTTAAAAATAAGAAATTGTCAGTTTGAAACCTGAAACAAATGTTTTTTTCGACATAGAAATATGAAGTGAGAGCATTTGAAAATATTGTTGAATGTTTTATTGTATTTACAATAGTATTCAATCATAATCCCAATCATACTGATTTTTGTTTTTTTATATCTTATCAACCTTTCCAATAATATTGTGTTGCTTATTGAAAAGTACATGATTACAATTATTTTCCACCTAGAAAGGAATTCATTCATATTTGTTTATAATTAATGTTTTCCACTGACATGAAGTAGAAAGATTATATTGAATCAATTGCTAGTTCTGTTGCTAGGAAAGTTAATTCAGTGTGTTGTGCTTGACAATTTTTCTCACCAGAATCCTTGACATATTTATAAGTCTACCACTCATCCTTGCTTTAAATATTGCTGCCACATCTGGTCTAGTGCACCTGCTATAAATATATAGATTCTTGATAAAATCCAAAGAATCTGCAATGTTATTGTTCCTGACCTGGCATCTAGGCTTCAGTTACTTTCCCATTGCTGTAACTTTCAATCACTTTGCCTGTGCCTTTTCTGTAAATATTTTTGTGGTAATTGTTCTGATGAACTTTCCTCTGTGGTACCCAGACTTTATGAATTCAAGTGTAGTACTAGATTGGCAGCGAGGCATCGTCATTTTACAGTTAAAATGGCTAGATTTTTTTTTCTTTTGCCATAAATATCTTACCTTTATTTTTTTTTCTAAATTTTGGATCATTTTAAATATTTTTTGTTTTTAATCAATTCACCCCAAGCAAGGTGATAATGCCACTAAAACACAAGTAGCTACTGGGAGTGAAAGAGAATGAGAAGCCTAAACAGGAAACAAGGGATAAAACTCTACTACTGATCAAAAGACTGGGGAGGAGCTTAAACTGAACGATAGGTGAACTTATCTACACTCTATTGAAAAGAAGGAAAAATAAAAAAAATATCAACAGTAAATAACATTTCAGAGCTTGGCAGCAGTGGGGAGCATTAGAAGCATAGAGCTGAAGTAGACTAGAAGGAATCAGAAACTCAATCCTAAATAGGAATAAACCTCTACTCCTGTTCAAAAGACTAGGGAGGAGTGTGAATTGGGCGATAGTTGAATGTATCTACTCCTATGTGTACAGGTCAAAACATGGACTTATCTTAAAAACAAAAAACTTTCATCAATCTTAAACCAAACTTTTATTATATATATATATATATATATATAAAAACAACAATAACAAAGATTGTATTTAACCAAAAACCAGTTGACGAGGGTATTAATGCAAATAACATATTTAAATCAAACCGTTTTTGTAATTATAGGACCCCATATCAACAGGTAAACCTTGTTAATTATAATATTAAGCTAAATAAATTTGTTTACTTGACTGTTGAATATCTTAGCACTAAATTTCATGGAACTGTGCATGAACACACACACAAAAAAAATATAGACATAATTTTTTCCTTTCATATTGATTTCACTTCTGCTAGAAGATTTTGACACACTTTGTTTTATGTAGAATTTCAGTTTTACTTATTTCATAATATGACTTTAAATATTTATCATTCAAGCATCCTGATCGCTCCTCCTTCATAATAAGGTATATCATTGTTATGGTAATAGGTTTACTCAACTCCAATCCATCAGTATGCCTCATGTCAAAATAGAATCTCATTAGTATGTTGGGAAGACCAGGATATTAATACATTGCTTTTTATTTCTTTTATTTTGTATTTGTTTTCTTCAGATATTTCAATTCTTTTTTACATGTGACTTGTAAAAAAACAAGAAAATTTCAATTTCTTATACTGAAAACAAAGAATATTAAAAACACCAAAAAACAAAATTGCATAAAATCAGCAGTCATATTTCACTTGTTCAGATAAACTTACCTAATGTTTTGCACACCTTAGCCAAAATATTTATTTCTAGCTTTAATGGTGACAATTTCACAATCATAGATAAAATAAAAAAATTTTAAAATTGTTTTTTCCTTTTTTTTCTGTTTTCAGTTCCACCAGAATATTTTGCACACCTTGACCACACCGGTCGGCGGGTAGATTGTTATGATAGACCAGAATTATGTTTAGGTTCTTATGAATTTGTAGCCACCAAAGATTATTGTAAGGTAAAGATCTCTTTTATTGCTTTTTTTTTTATTTTTAAAAATTTTTTTTTTATTTGTTCATCAAAAAGATGTGTTGGGTTTTTTTCTTGTTTAAAACTTGCATTGAAGCAGATAAATTTATTGAACATTAGTATTTAGCCTTTTGTTAAAATTTTTTTGAAAGAATACTAGTTATAAATATCAAATGCATGATGTCTAAAAAGGCTTCAAATATAATGCTGAAAATTAATTAAAAAAAAAAAATAATATCAGACACATACACATACAATAAAAAGCATATACAAGCAATCATGCACACATACATTAATAAAGACATAGATATATACATAGACAAACCCACAAAGATTGAAGTCTAAAAGTATTAATAAACAAATGCAAACCAACTATTAAAATATTACAAAGGTACATATAAAAAATACACAAAAATAAACTGACACACATGCGCAGATACAAATATCAATTTCGATATAGGAGAATCCAACAACCTCATCCAGTTTTTATGTTTATGTTGTATGTGACACTTCAGTCCTGTTAGTCACCTGTATTCAAGTTCACATATTGTGCAATAGTGCATAGCAAGAGGAATATTTGATGACTCTTTTCGCCATTGTCTTTTATCTCTTAGCCGATCAATACGACTGATTTAAAAAAATTTCTGATACCACTCTGGCACAAATATCTCCATTTATTTCTATCAAGGGCAACTCACTTGGAATTAATATGAGGCTCATTGACAGCTGAGAGGTTACTCTTTAACTTGTCTTATACAGCCATCCAATAGTCCTTTGTCCAATGTCAAGCTGGCTATACATGAAGACATTAGATATTCTGTCATCACTCATCCTTACAACATGACAAACCCAGCGAAGTTGTGACTGCATCAAGAAAATCTCAATTCCACCAATGTTGTATTTTGTAAGAAGATCCAGTTGAATGATATGGGGCCTATATGAAGTCCACAATTCTCAGCTTTAGAACAGTGTGCTCAAAACTGCTGTTCTATAAACACATATTTTGGTGCCCAATTTGATACCGCTCTCATTCCATAGGTGCCAGCAAAGCTTTCCAAATGCATATGTAGCTTTGGCGATCCGATTTGTTATTTAATCATCAAGGGGTACATTTGCATTTATCTTACTTCCTAAATATGTAAATGACTGTACATACTTCAAGTTCTTTCCATCAATCTGTATAGGAGTGTCTGTGAATTGATGAACTGGTGGAGGTTGTCTGACACCCAAAATCTCCTTTGGACAAGGAGGTGGCTGATAGATTACCTCCATTTTCTTTATGCTAATGGTAAGGCCAAAAGTAAGGCAACAAAAACAGTTTTCTTTAGCTCTATGCAATCATCACAGCAGAACAGTTGAATTCTTTAGCTTCTATATCTCTCTCAGCATCATCATCTCATCAGATCTCATCTCATCTCTCTAATATCTCTCTATCTCATCTCTATCTTTGAAGATCTCATCTCTTCTCTCTCTCTCTCTATCTCTCTCTCTATCTCTCTATCTCTATCTCATCTCTATCTCTATCTCTCTATCTCTCTATCTCTATCTATCTCTCTATCTCTATCTCTATCTCTATCTCTATCTCTCTATCTCTCTATCTATAATGTGAGAGAGCTGATCAAAAAGTATCAAGACTCTTGGTAACAGAGCTAAACTACACAGTGAAGCTGCTTGGCCCAAACTGGCCTTGAACACTGTCATGCATATACAATAAGTTATAACATTCTCGCTTGCAATACTTGGAAGGAAAGTGTGTAGTGTATGGTCATTTCACCAAACCAAAGTGGTTCCGTCAGTGACCATGGCTTGTGGGGCAGCAGTTTTTGGCTAAAAACAACATTCCCCAGGTCTGACAATCACCGTCTTCCCCAGATCTCATCCTGTGCTACTTTATCCTCACCAAAAATCAAATTTCACTTGAATGGAACAATATTTCAATATGTTGAAAATTCAAGAGAATTCAATGAGGCAGTCGCTTGCTATCCCAAAAAAGGAGTTTCAGGAATGTTTCCATTCATGGAAACTATGCTGTGGCTTCAAAAAAGGACTACTTTGAAGGAGATTAAATTATGAATTTATATATGTTGTAGTTTTCTTTTTATAGCACCAGATCCAATACTTATTGATCTGACCTTGTCTGTGTTTGAAAGGATGCATGGTTAGAACATTTGCTTACTGATCATGAGATTTGGATTTGTATCTCACCATGGTTGATTTGTCAGGAAGGTGATACATGTCTTTATCATGTGGGGAGGCGATTCTGTCATGTCGCACTTTTAGAAAGTGCCTGAAAATTAAACAATGGGTTGACCCAAACCTTGTGTGTGAAATTGGGTAGACGGAACTGTTTGAAAGCCACTGATGTTGCTCAAAACTGCTGATCATGCCAGATTATGCACTCTCTCCCAGGAACTGTAACCAAGGTCCTGCTTGAGTACAGTTGCAGTATAAACTACAGATAGACAAACACAAATGTACCTGAGTGGGCATCTGCTCACTACTATAGCCAACAGATGTGCTCAGAAAACAAGTAACTGGCTATTATATATATTTAATATAGATTTAATAGGAAAGTTAATAAAAATTTGACTAAATTGAAGCACAAAGAGAAAAGATTATAAAGTTGGAATTTTCATTTAAAAAAGAACATGAAAGGACATTCAAAAGAACTGAAAAAAATGTGTTCAAAAATTCCGACTTTAGAATCTTTCTAAAGTGGCTTCTAATCTGACCACAATCTGCAGTTCTTTAGCAGTTATAATCTTTATTAAAGAAATATACTGTCTTTTTTTTTTTTTTAATCTGTATATATATATATATGCATCATGTTTATTTTGTTTTTTTTTTTTTTTTTGCATAAATATAAGAAATATTTATTATATATGAATTTCTTTTCAGAATGGAAAATCTCCCAAGACTCCAGCATTTATTTTCTGTATTGATGTTTCTTACAACAGTGTGAGAAGTGGTCTGGTTCAGCTGATATGTTCCAGATTAAAACAGGATATTCTTGTAAACTTACCAAAGTAAGAACTTATTTTTCTCTTGTATAAACAACAGTAGCAATACTGTTTGTTTTCTTCCTGTTTATTGGGGGGGGGTCTGCTCCAAAAATACTAAAAAAATATTTGATTTATGTATACTCTTACATGAAAAACTTTTGCCACTTTGTTTATTAATTTCACACTTTTCCCCAGAGCTCAAGCTGAAAATAGTTATAGTTGGTTCAAATTTTTACCTGCATGCTTTTATGATGTGATATAGAATTCATAAAACTATAAAATTACTATTTCTATTTCAGAGAAGCTGGTGCTGAAGAATCAGAGATCAGAGTTGGCTTCCTTACCTATGCAAAAGAAATACACTTTTATAATGTAAAGGTAAGTAATCTCTGTTATAATAATCTGATTTCTACGCGTGTTTGTTACTGTAACACTGCAAAAATGGCACATCATAGAATAGTATTTGTGAGGGCAATACTGTTAAAAATTGCTCTAACTTGAATAATAAAACAATTTCCAGTTCAGTCAGGTAACCAGTTCCCAAATAAGTATTAATTCAATATAAATTGACAAAAAAAAAAATCTGTCTGTGGGTGATAGGTACAGGCCTATTATTTGTCAGTTACAGAGTTGCTTC